GCAGCAGCAGCAGCAGCAGCAGCAGCAGAGGTGGACCCTGAAGTGCCATTCTGAACCGACAGTCGAGGCAGCTCCGATGCTCAGCCGCTTCCATCCTTGGCTGCAGGGCCCCTACGCTGAGCAAAGTGTGCAGGCGTGCTGTACAAGTGGATCGCGTTCGGGTGCTTGTGCGTTGCTTTCCCGCCATCATCCCACCTCTGACACGCTTTTGACAAGATGAGCGACACGATCGAGCTTCCCGTCGAGGCGCCGCTCACGTCGGCGTCCAAGCTGCTCTCGGGCGTTCTGTCGCAGCTGGACTCGTCTCGCGCGCCGACTGCGGAGCAGCTTCGACAGCTGCAGCTCGTCCAGACGCTGCTGTCTGGTATGGACGCGTACCTGGACTCGGTCTCGTCGCCTGCTCCGGCGGTGCAGCGACCGCTGCTGCAAGCTACAGCCGAGCACGACTGGCAGGCGGCGTGGGATAACAAGCAGACGCTCTTCCACCTCTCTGCCGCATGGTCGGCGGGAGCGTACGAGGGCAACTTGGTCGGCATGCTCACCAAGCTCATGCGCGCCAAAAAGGTGCTCGAGATCGGAATGTTCACGGGGACCACTACGGTGTGCATCGCCAACCAGCTGCCCCAGGGAGGAAAAGTGACCGCGCTCGAGATCGACCCGTACCTCGATGCCTTTACGCGTCCGCTCTTCGACAAGACCGGATTGGGCGACAAGATCGACGTCAAGGTGGGCAATGCAGTCGAGGAGCTGGACAAGATTGCTCGCAACGTGCTGAGCGACCAAGAGGCCTTCGACGTCATCTTTATCGACGCAGACAAGCCGGCATACACCACCTACTTGCACGCGATCCTCGACAAGGGTCTGCTCAAGCGCAACGGTCTGCTGGTGGTGGACAACACGCTGTACAAGGGCACCCCCTGGACCGAGGGCTTGGTGGACGAAAAGACGCTCGAGATCGGAAAGCAGAATGCCGAGGCGATCAAGCAGTTCAACCAGGTGGTCAGGGCCGACAAGCGCGTAGAGGTCGTAGTGCTCCCCGTGCGCGACGGCGTGAGCCTCATCATGCGCACTGAATAAGGGCGATAGAAATACATTTTGGCTAGCCACCCAACGTGGTGAGCGCCTCGTCGATTCGAGCCTCGACCGTCTGTGTTGCGCCCAGAGCGTCGATGGATACGGATGCCTGCACCACGCGAAAGTTGGAAGAGGGTGCTGCAGCATGGTGCGGCGTGGAGGAGGCGAGCTGGTGGCTGCCGATGAGATCGTCAAAGTCCTGCACCTTGAACGCTTCGCTGTCGGCAACAAAGACGAGGCTGCGACACGCTTCGATGGTGACGACGCTGGATCGTTTCGTGGCGAGCTGCACGGCCACGCGCGTGGAGGCGTGCATGCGGAACTGGTGGCACGATGGAATGCCCACGAGCGAGTGTACGATGCCGTGCGCCATCACACTGCCCTCTATAGCCGGCAGGAGGAGGATGGAGTCTCTGATGTCGCGCAGCTGCACCGACACCACCTTGGCACTGATCGAGCGCAAATCCACCAGCGAATTGGTCACGTGGCAAACGTGCACCGACAGTCGCAGTGCTTCTTGTGGTGGAGGCAAGTAGGATGTGTGGGAGAGCGATGTGATGGCCAGACGATCTGCACCTGCCGCATCCTCTGCAGATGTCACGGGTGTCGACTCGCTCGTGATCGTCGCTTGCGGTGCTGATCGTGCGGGTTGGGCAGGCTTGCGGCGAAAGGCAAAGCGTCCACCTACTGCCTTGGCAGGTTGGATGGCGCGGCGGCGTTGATCGAGGGTCGCGGTGATTTCGTCGAGCGCACGCCTGTGGAGCGCCTGGTCGTGCGCGGGCAGAACGCCGCTATCCACCGCTGCGGTTAGCTCGGCATTCAGCGCCGAAAGCCGCTGCAGGGCCGCGTGCAGCGCAGTCGCATCGGAAGCGTCGCAGATCTGCGCCCGAAGCGCGTCGGTGGCCTGGGTGAAGTGCGTGTAGAAGGCGGCTGCGGACGAGGCACTCGCGAGCGACGCCGTTCCCACCGACGATGAGGATGCCATGGATGGCACTTGCGCTTGGTGGGGCGGTCGAAAGTCGTCGTCGCTGTTCAGTCCTCTTTCGACAAGAAGACCCTGAGCGCGAAAGGGTGCCGATCGGGAGGGGGGTACAATCGGGATGCACAATCGTCGATCGATATGGTGACTCGGCTCGGTGGGGCACCGAAGAGCAGAGAGAGTGGGCGCTTTCTCGCTGTTTTTTTGAGCGATTACAAAATCGCACAGCAGACTGCAGTGTGACGGTGCAAAGTGGGAAGCAGAGCCAAAATGAAATCCGAGCGCCGCTTTCTTCCAAAACGCAGTCGAAGCGAAGTCGAAGCGCAGTCGAAGCGCAGTTGAAGCTCAGGTCGGGCATCCTCTCTCCCCACCATCATCTTCTCCTCTCTACCCCACCCCCTCATCGACTGAGAATGTCGACATTCGGCTCGCACTTCCGCGTCACTACCTACGGCGAGTCGCACTGCGCCTCGGTGGGCTGCATCGTCGACGGTGTGCCGCCGGGCATGGCGCTCGAGCCGCAGGACATCCAGACGCAGCTCTCGCGCCGTCGCCCCGGCCAGTCGAACCTCACCACGCCGCGCGACGAAAAGGACCGCGTAGAGATCCAGTCGGGTGTGGAGCGCGGTGTCACGCTCGGCACGCCCATCGCCATGCTGGTGCGCAACCAGGACCAGCGCCCGCACGACTACACCGACGACACGCTCGACGCCTACCCGCGCCCCTCGCACGCCGACTTCACCTACCTCGAAAAGTACGGCGTCAAGGCGAGCTCGGGCGGTGGACGCTCGAGTGCACGTGAGACCATCGGTCGTGTGGCGGCAGGTGCGCTCGCCGAAAAGTACCTCAAGGAGGCGTTTGGCGTCGAGATCGTCGCGTTTGTCTCGAGCGTAGGCAAGGTGCATGTGCCGCGCTACCCGGGCGAACAGCTGGCCAAGGATGTCGTTGTCGCCGCTGCAAAGGCGGACGCTGCCGAGGGCAAGTCGTTCTACGGCGAGTCGGCCACCGATGGCCCGCCGCAGACCAAGGTGGACAACGTGATCGACACCGAGGGGCTCACCGAGGAGGAGGCCGAGGAGCCGCTGTCCAAGGAGTTCCGCCAGCTGCTCGCCACCATCACGCGCGCCAAGGTGGACGAGAACGCCATCCGGTGCCCGCACGAGCTCGCCGCCGAGCGCATGCGCCAACGCATCCTGCTCGCCAAGGCGAACAACGACTCGATCGGGGGCACGGTGACGTGCATCATCCGCGGCGTCCCCAGCGGCCTGGGCGAGCCGTGCTTCGACAAGCTCGAGGCGAAGCTGGCGCACGCCATGCTCTCCATCCCCGCCACCAAGGGGTTCGAGATCGGCTCCGGATTCAGGGGCACCGAGGTGGCGGGCAGCAGGCACAACGACAAGTTTGTGCTCAAGCAAGGCGGCAGGCTGGGTACGATGACCAACTGGAGTGGAGGCATCCAGGGCGGCATCAGCAATGGCGAGGACATCTACTTCCGCGTGGGCTTCAAGAGTCCCGCTACCATCTCGCAGGATCAGGCGACGGCGACGTACGAGGGCAAGGCGGGCACGCTCAACACGCGCGGCCGGCACGATCCGTGTGTGGTGCCGCGCGCGGTGCCCATCGTCGAGGCCATGGCGGCGCTTGTCGTCATGGACGCCGTCATGGCGCAGGATGCTAGGGCCAGGGGGGCGGAAAGGCTCAGTAGGGCGCCTGTACAGGCGCTGCCTAACAGTATGAAGATGCCGCCCAAGCGGGTTTAGAAATGGCAATGTGATTGTGATTGTTCGTACGCTAGGGGTGGGAGAGGGCGGCGGTGGGATCCCAGGCGCGATAGACTGTGCACGTCTTGCGTTCGCGACGCAGTATGTTGGCCTCGTTTTCGCCCGTGACTTTGGCACGCCAGTCGGTGGTGAGGCTGGCTTTGTAGGCCGGGTGGTTTTCGGGGGGAGAATGCCACTCGTGCAGGCCTAGGTTCTTGGGGACTTGTTGGGCGTCGTTGGGTTTGGCGTGGGTGCCTGTGATGCCGTTGTCGATGAGGGTGAAGCGACGACTTCTTCGCCAGCCGGGGACTTTGGCGAGCAGGGGTACGTGTTCTTGTTCCCACCACGTGTTGAATTCGTTCTCGGCCTCGGGGGCGATATCGACGCTGTTGCAGACAAGATACGCCGGTGTGTCTTTGGCCAGCTGGGGTGAGAGACCGAGAGGTGACGAGGAGAGTGAGGTCGTGTCGGAATCGTACTCGAGACGATAGATTCGTCGATCCACCACACCCAGTTTGGTGAACAGCTCCGCTTCGCGTGGACTGCGCTGCGTGCGGAGCGAGGTGTAGCTCGTATGGGCGAATACCGAGTTGTCCGAAATCGTATACAGCGCCCCCCAAGTCGTCTCCGGCAGCAAAGTGCGAGAGAGCGTGGTCGAGGTGACCGAATAGCGTACCGCCGAGCGAAAGGTGGGGAAGCGTTCAATGCGAAGTGGCACGTGCTCCGTATCGTACCAGTCGTGAAAGGTCGTCAGCGACTCACTGCCAGGATGCATAAACACCACCAGCAGCCCGCTCTCCCCCGCTTTGAAGACGTCACTCATCGTGTCAAGATCCAAGGAATTGTGCAGCTTGGTGCAAAGACACGCCGACGAGGCGAGTGCAACAAGCTTATTATATATCGCCCCCGCAGCTCCGAGCCAACACGTCTTTTCCCGCTTTATCCGCATCCTCAACACCGTCCGGATCATCTTTTCTCCATCCCCCCTCCCCTCCACTCACCAATGCAAACACACAGCAATCAAAGCAACATCAAAATGCAACACACTCTGTCATTTCGCCATGCGCATCAGCTGGCCTACGCCCGGCCATTCACCTTGGTCTGCGCACGCAGCTTGGCCTCGCGCTCCAGACTCTGCTTCCAGCCTTCCTCGAAGGCCGCCTCGTCGCGCGTCGGGTCCGCCAGGCTCGCCGCAATCTCGTTCTGCTTGTGCCGGTTGGCCGACTTGAGCTCGTCGCGCCACGTCTGCACCACCTCGCCCGCCTTGCTGGGCGCATAGGTGCGTGCGAACAGCGCCGCCTCGCTCGTGCGCCCCGCCTTCTGCAGCACATCAATGCACGCATCCACATCGCCCAGCGACAGCAACGCCGCAAACGCCACGTTCGTACTTCCCTTGGCCGTCGCCAGCTCCGCCAGCCGCGCCAGCATCGCCCGGTCGTTCGTCGACGTGGCCACCAGCAGCATCGACGACACATCCTGCGCCTTTTCGAAGCACTCCTTGGCAAGAGCCACGTTCCAGCGCGCAAGCGCCTTGTCGCCGATCGTGCGCCAGCGCGACTCGGAGCCCACCTGCGGCCCCGATCGTGCAATCTCGAGCGCCGTCTCAAAGTCGTCGAGCGAGATGGCAAGGTCGAAGCGGTGCTCGGCATCCGTCGACACCTCGAGCGCCAGCTCCTTGAGCTCCTGCGTCTCGAGGAAGCGCGCCACCCGGTTGCGCTGGTCCGCCGGTACCTGCTCCAGCAGCTCGGCCGCCGCGTCCAGATCGCCGCGCAGGATCGCCGTCTGGTACTCGACGAGCGCCAGCGACAGCGCATAGCTAAAGATGGCCAGATCCTTGTTCACCACGTACACGCGGCCGTGCTGCGGGATGTAGCCGAGCAGGAAGATCTCGTGGTCGGAATGCGTGATGGTGTGCGTCTGCTCGCCCACCAGATACTGCAGCCGGTTCGTCGAGTTGGTGTAGAGCAGACACTCGCCCGTCCACTTGGCCGTGCGCACGCTCTCGCTCACCTCGGTCACCACCTCGAACGCCGTCTCGACGCCTTCGTCCTCCACCTCGGCGCCCGTGTCGAGGAAGGCGGCATAGGCGTCGCGGTCGAAGCGCAGCACGTAGAACGAATCCTGGCACACGATGGCCACCAGCTCGCCCGTGGTGGACCAGTGGATCGCCTTGGCCTCCACGTCGACGCGGCGCACCAGCGCACCCGTCTCCCAGTCGTAGAAGCACACAAAGCCGCCGCCGAGCACCGCGAGCAGCGCACCGCCCGCCACCGCCTCGACGTTGTACGCCAGCGTGAGCAGACCGGGGCGCTCCTTGAAGTTGCGGAACACCTTGAGCTTGGCGCCGCCCTCGTGCACGGCGNCCGCCCGCCACCGCCTCGACGTTGTACGCCAGCGTGAGCAGACCGGGGCGCTCCTTGAAGTTGCGGAACACCTTGAGCTTGGCGCCGCCCTCGTGCACGGCGTACGTGTTGCTGTCGCTCGCCCAGGCAAAGCCGAGACCGGAGCCGAAGGCCTTGTTGCGCCATGCGAGCGCCGTGTAGATGATGTACTCGCCGTCGCCGCACACGGTGACAAAGCGGCCGTTGGGGCTGTGCTGGAGCAGCTGCGGATACACCTCGGTGGATCCCATCTCGCGCACCGATACGGGCAGACGCTGACCGTCGGGCACGGCGTCGTCGGCGGTGGTGCCGACGTTGGCGCTGAGCACCTCGGAGTTGCGCGCCCACACCACCTTGCCCGCGGCGTCCATGCTGACGCTGGGCTCCTCCTTGCCGAGCTTGATGACGACGGCGCCCTCGTCGTAGCCGATGGCGACGTCGTTGCCCGAACGCTTGTAGGCGACGCACCAGACGCGCTCGAGGCCGTAGTCGAGCGTGGACTCGAGGCGGTAGGTGTTGGAGTGCCAGAGCTTGACGGTGCCGTCTTCGGAACCCGAGATGATGAGCGGCAGCGAGGGGTGGAAGACGGCGAAGGAAACGTTGGAGGTGTGGCCGGTGAGCGTCTGTACGCACGACTTGGAGAGGTAGTCCCAGATCTTGACGGTGCGGTCGTCGCCGACGGTGAGCATGTAGGGCTTCTCGCCGCCGTGGAAGTACTCGACGTAGTTGACGCCCTTGTCATGCGCATCGAGCGTAAAGTTGGCGACGCTGGAGCCGAGCGTCCAGACCTTGACGGTGCGGTCGAGCGAAGACGAGGCGAAGGTGTTGGAGTCCTTGGGGTTGAAGCAGAGGTTCATGATGTAGTGGGTGTGACCTTCAAAGGTGTGCATGAGGCGCCATCCCTTGTCCCAGTCCCACATCTTGATGGTCATGTCGTCCGAGCCGGTGAGGACGTAGGGCCCGGTGGGGTGTACGGTGAGGCAGCGGATGTAGTCTGGATGCGCCTCGAAGCTGATGACCTTTTCGTGGGTGTTGTAGTTGAAGGCGCGCAGCTGAAAGTCGTCGGAGCCGGCGACGAACCAGTTTTTGCGCGCGATGAACTTGACGCAGCGGACGGGCACATTTGTCACCTCAAAGGTCTTTACAATGGCGCCGGTCTCGTAGTTCCAGATGTTGACGGAGCCGGAGTAGAGGCCTGCGAGGAGCCATGGCTCGGTGGGATGGAAGTCGAGCGACTTTACGCGCTCCGACTTTGCAAACAGCTTGCGCTGGATGTCGAGAAGCATCGGCATGGTCAAGGAAAGAGCTGCCGAGCAGCGGGGCGAAGAGCGCTAGCACCACCGAAGCCGCCGAGTTTGGAATCGAGAAGGTTGCGAGCGGTGCGAGCGGTGTCGACTGCAGCAGCAAGATGAGCTGTGGTGAGGAGTGGAGGAGAGGAGAGAAGAGCAAGGAGGTTGATGGCGATGATGTCCAGAGAGCAAGGAGCGTGCGTCGCTGCAGCGGTTTGGCTGGGCTGTGGGTTGCTGTGCGAATGGGGCTCGAGCCAAGCCGCTCGCGCCTTGTTGGCCTTCCAAAGCTCCCCGAGACGAGCGCGCTGTGTTACACGTCTCCGGCTGATTTCCATCCGGCCGGGAGGTTGAGCGAGAAGAAATGGACGAAGCCTCACATTCGAGTGGGCTTTCCAACGATCTCACATAGCCAAGCAAAAAGGCGCTCGCGGCGCGTCTCGAATCGCTCGCTCGCCAAACACTGAAACCGAGCTGGCCGCGTGCCTTGCTTTGCTCTGCTCGGGCTCCACCACCGAATCATGCGCCCTCTCTCCCTGAGTGAATGCAGTTGGCAGCGGTATGGACGCAGTGGTTCGGCTCCTCTTCGGTACAGTTTCATCATTCTCGACTCACGTTTTCTTGCCACCCGAGGAAATCTCGCGATGAGAATCGTGAGATACGACTGGACAAGAGGGGATTTGGCGGAGCGAGGAGCGAGGAGCGAGGAGCGAGG